CTCTCTTTTCTTGGGCTTCATCCCACTCTCTCTCCACCAGAGACCCTATTTGTTATTGGTCTTATGTTCAGCTCATTAGCAAAAGGGAACTTGAGGCCTTTAGACACAATAGAGGTTTTTTTTTTAAGGCAAGCATCAAGAAGATCAAAAGATTGCTGACTATGTTGTAAAGGAGAGGGAAAGATGGTGAATTTGAGACCCTGGTACTAAATTAACCCTTTAACTCCCAGAATTGATTAACATGTAACTTCTCCCTATTATGTCTATACATTATCCAGCAAACAGATGATGAGAATACTCAAACTGATCAGGTGGAAGTTGTTTTCTTGATCTAAGAGGGAAATGAAATGTTTAGCAGCTACAGGGGAGTTAAGGGGTTAAAGAAAATTGTTGCAATTTAAAGTGGGCATCACTAAAGAATTAATCAATGTAAATTATTTTCTTTTTGGTTGAAGTGAGTCCTGTCACAGTCTTTCTCTGTACAAACACATGGCAGCATTTGTCATGGCCTACAGTTTCACTGAACATAAGTCAAGTCCTGATGATGATGATGACGATGATAGTGAAGATGATGATGATGATGAAGATGAGAATAATGATGCAGCTCCTGCCATGGTGCCAATGGCAGACATACTTAATCATATCAGTAACAATAATGCTCACTTGGAGTTTGGTACTCAAACTCTGACAATGGTGGCAACGCAAGATATTCCAAAGGTGAAATCAGTGTTGGTGAATTTAAACTGGATTTGTCGTATACGTATGATTGAGGATAATTCATGTAATTAGGCTTAAACCCTTAAACCTTAGCATCAGTATGCATATTCTCCCTACTGTTCTCTACACATTTCTTAAGGTGCTGACAAGGAGAATTTGTTTGATGATCACAAGTTTCTTTAGTTGGTGATCATTTCCTTTATTCTTGTGACATAGATGTTTGATTCAGGGGTGATATTGTGAGGAGAAATTAGATACTTGTCACTCTTAGGGATCAAAGGGTCAAGGTGCTGAACATTTTTATAGATCCATTTCATAAGGAAGTACTGGTATTTCCACAGACCTGGAGTCAACCTCCCAGTCACAACCATGTCACAATTACCTTACGTTTCCTTCTGTGTTTTATTTCAGGGACAGGAAATTTTCAATACTTATGGTAACCTTGCCAACTGTCACCTTCTGCAGTCATATGGATTTGTGGAGGAAGAATTACCAAATCCATATGACATGGTGAGACATTCATTTAATATCTACTATACATTGTAAGAGGAATTATTTTGTGACAAATCTGTTTTATTTACAGGTAGAGTTACCCATCAGTGCATTTATTGAGGTAATGAAGGACAATCAGTCACAACAGGAGAAAGGAATATTTCACTCTAAGCTTGAGTTCCTAGAAGAAGCAGTAAGTAACTTAATTAGGACCTGTTTCTCATGGCAACAATACCTTAACAATGTACACCCTAATATCAGTATGCATATTCTCCAGACTGCTCTCTATACTTTAGCTGAGGTGTTGACAAGGAGAATTTGTTTTACAATCAAGAGCTCTTTTAGTTGGTGATTATTTCGTTTATTCTTGTGAGGTAAATGTGTGATTCAGGGCTGATATTATGAGGGGAAATTAGATGCTAGTCACTCTTGGGGTTCCAATATATGGATTACCCCCCTCTGCAGAAAATACTTTCATCATCATCAGGACTTTCTGGAAAGTATTTTGTCATTTATAACTTAGCCTGCAGAACATGTGTACTGGTAATTTTTTTGGAAATAAAACCTTAGCCACTCCTCCCCTCTTGTGTGACCAAGCATCTCATGCTTACCCTCAATTTCCCAAAAGCACAAAAAAGTTGCACCTGTTCAGCAGGTTATTACAGCTTGGTAGTGTTAGTTAATTCTATTGGTATGATATCCAGCTTGCTGTTTTGGTAGGGTGTGGCTTCCAAGGATGACTTGTTTCTTTTTGAACGTGAGGGATGTTCACACTTTGGTCCAGATTTGTATGCTACTCTGAGAGTAAGTAATGCAAATACTTAATGTGATCAGTTATCAGGACAACAGATGATTGTTCTGTATATCAGATGCTGTGACTTATCATGACTGACTTGTGCTACTTGAGTCTTGTAGCCAACAACAACACAGCTATACTGACCAAACAGTTTACATGAACCAGATTTATATGCTGGACTGACAACAACTCTTCACTTGACTCTGATGATGACTTCTGCTTAGGTTGTTGAAATGTCAGTCACTACTACCAACAACAGTCCTTCTCAAGACTACCCACAATAGACAATAGACTAGACAATCACACCACATGATCAGATACTCTTTTCTTGTTATGTACAGGGCATTATTGTGACTGAATTATCTGCTATAATTTTTGTCAAATTTTGTAACATGTTTGTTTTAAGATCCTTCATCTGTCTGGAGAGAAGTTCAAACAATTATTGGAAGAGCAAGTAAAGAAACAGAGAAGTGAAGAATTTGATGACATTGGACATGTGCTGGATCAAATTGATGATGAAACTAAAAAGGATACATGTTGGAGATTCTTGGAGCTTGTTTATAAGGCTGAATGTGACAAAGGGAAGAAGAAAAGGAAAATCAAGGAAAAGGACTTGCAACTGAAACAGAAGAAAATTAAAACTACTGGCTATGGAAATTCAGACTCCATGGAGAGTCTACTGATCAGCACTAAAGATTGTGGTAACAGACACATACAAACTAACAATGGCAGTTTGGAAAAAAACAAAATTGAAAGTGAAAATGAATTAAATCCCTGGTCCAAAGATGACGCTTGTGCTTGTGTGAAGAGAACTTCAGACCCAGGAAAATGTGATGCTGAGAGAGATGAAGCTTCAGATGTAGAAAGCACAGGGAAAAAGAAGCTATGCTGTGATGAGGATGGCAAAGCTGGTGGCAGCAGTGATATCAGTGGGGATCACATAAGTAATGAAAATGAAACCAACAGCAGAAATGACAATTATGATGATGATGATAATGACAATGATGACAATGTCGATGACAACAGTGAGGATGATGAGGATGATGATAGTGGGGATGATAGCCAAGAAGAATCTAAACTATCTCTAAGTTATGGTAAACAACACAAGCTTTGTTAGGGCAAGTTACTTTTAGTAGGGTGTGAATCTTGAAGCCTGTGACTGACATAACAGCTAGTTAGTTCTGTATAACTTGATCCTTTAACTCCTAAGAGTGACCAGCATATAAATTCTCCCTTAAATAAAACCCCATATTTGAACATTAAGATCACAAGAATTGAGGAAATGATCACCAACTGAAGATGCTCTTGATTGCTATACAAATTCTCCTTGTTAGCAACTTAGGTAATGTATAGAGAACAGTAAGGAGAATGTGCATACTGATGTTAGGGTGTAAGTATTAAGCTAAGGGTGTGTGTACTCTTCCTGGATAGGATTTTAGTCCATCACAAACAACTTCTAGCATCCTGTTAACTCTTTACACCCTAACATCAGAATCTTTATTCTCCATACTGTTCTTTATCCCTTTCCTTGGGAGCTGATAAGGAGAATTTGTTTAACAATCAAGAGCCTCATTAGGTGTTGATCATTTCTTTTATTCTCATGACATTAATGTGTGATTCAGCAGTCATACTGTAAGGAGAAATTAGATGCTAGTCACTCTCAGAGGTTAAAGGATGTAAGTTTCCTTGACACTATGCAGCACCAATTTATACTCCTGGATGGAGAGAGGCATTGAAGCTTTAAGGCATTAACCTGCCTTTTCATGCATGATATTTCTTTGTCATCAGCTCACATATGAAATATTTCTTTTTCATGGTCATGACAGAGATGATATCTCAGTGGCCATTGGAATGGAGGAGAACCCTTAAAAGGTACAGGATTTGTTTGTTATGATGAAGGGGGAATGGGGAGGATAGAGAGTGTGGCGTCGCTTTCTTTGCCAATTGACTAGTTAACCCTTTCACTTTCAAGATTTCTGCAGTAATTCTCCATGCTGCTTGCCATACATTGCTCATCATATTAGTTCTGAGAATTCATTATTGGATCAAATGATAATTGATATTTTTATTCTCGTCACTTGCCTTCTTGATATTGTATTGATATTGTAGGGAGAAATTCTGTCTTGGTCACTCACAGGAGTTAAAAGTCTAACTGAGCTCACAAACCAACTTTATTTCCTGTGAGTTGTGCTTCGTCTTTGTCTAATTGTTAGACGACTGATACGTAATTTAATGTTTTTACAGGTCTTATCACTTACACCCTTTCCGTTTTCTTCTCACGCCTATAAATGTACTTTCAAAGATTTAATCTCTCTAATCATTACCGTTTGCCTATACTAGTGTTGCGGAGTTTTGTGTAAAACAAAGATACGGAGACAGCATTATGAATGAAGAAAATACAGTCGAGAACTGCAGCAGAAGACATCTGTCTGTACTCAGAATCAAGCAAGGACAGAAATCTATTTTCGGGCGCATTTGTGAACTAGCCACTGACGTTAATGCATAGGAATGGTGGAGGAATATTTTGAAGATATCAAGGTATTTATCATTTGATGTGGCGATTGTTTCAAACTCGCACCTTCAAGTTCTGGTGTCGTTCACTGAAAAATGTATGAGAAGCAAGGTACACACATTTCACAAATGGTATAAAATGAGTTTTTATTACAATCGTTTTAGCTGGTGTTTAAAAATACTTATTCTGTAGACAAACATCAATGCATGCATTGGTGTTCAAAAATAACAAATTAATACATGCTTTATCTTGTCTCTGGAATCAGCTACTAAAGGTTTTCTGGGTTAGTTTCTACAAATCCATCCAAAGTTAATGTGATGAAAGTTGTCTGTCTTTTTCTACATCTTCATCGGACATCCTTTAGTAACTGAAAAGAAAAGAAATTTCTGTATTTAGTTTGTGTTACGAGGACCATAAAATACACCAAAGCTGAACAGGAATTTGCGTCTAGAAAGGCCACTCATCAAAATTTTTACTTAATGAGCGCTGTGTCTTTTTTTACTCGAGCATTAATGGAAATATTGTATTCAAAACATGTTTTTTTATTCACTTCCTTTTCACGTTGCGTGACAGTCATGTGCAGTTTGTTGTCGCGTGATCTTTCGTTGGTACTTCTCACATTATTGACACAGAACGGATTCGTGACAAAATTGTTGCTTACCGGAAACTATTCGATCGGTGGGCATTTTGTTTCACGACAAGTTTTCTGACATTCTTCAAGGGTTTTAAAGTTGTTTCCATTGTTCATGCATCCACCGAAGGTAAACATCTTGCACTTTTTAGTGACTTTGTCGTAGTAGTAACGTATAAACGCAGCCCTGCAAGGTCCTGTGAACTTCGGGAGACAACAGAAAATTCTTGGCGTCGAGTCTAAAGAGAATGCATCCAAAAAGATTGATATTCAAAGTTAGCTTTATTGTGATGATCGTCAGAGATACTGAACCACTACAGCCCTGAATACTAGCATTCTATTTGACACAGCCCATCGCGTTCACAATTTTATTCTCAATAAGGATGACTACACAACTATAATCGGCTTACAAATTATACTGTTCATGTTCATAGACAAACACTAAAACAGGAAAACTACTATCAAGAAGTTTTTTTTTGCTTTCAGTCAAAGAACTATTCATCGCTTTCGCTTATCATGTCAAAGTGACTGGATTTCAGGCTTTTTGTGGAGAATATTTTAATTTTTTTCTTATCATGCTCCGAGACGAATATCTAGCCGTTTTGACCTCGTGCAAGTCAAGAGCGCAAATGTACGAGTCCAGTTATTTGTTATCTCCCTTTAAGTTACTTAAAATAACAATAATAATAATGAGTTGATTAAGACTTTTCGCAGTATTTCGCAGAGTAGAGTTTGCGAGAGAAACTAATGTTACCATCTGTTTAATGTATTTTATTGTTTGAGTATTAACCCTTTACGTCTAGCATTAGTTATCATATTCTCCACAGTGTTCTCTTTACATTTCCTATGGTACCGACAAGGAGAATTTGTTTGACAATCAAGAGCTTATCAAATTGATGATCATTTCCTTTGTTTTATAACCTTTGCTTTTGATTCAAGGATGATCTATTAGGAGAAATTTGAAGCCAGGCCAGTTTCTCGTAAGGGTTAAAGGGCTTAGACACTGGGACGACGTTTTGTTTATGGCGCCATTCATAACTACTTCCCTTCCCGCTGAAGCCATAACTAGAGTTGATCCTACACAGACGAAAAATATTATTTGTCTACATTAGTGGTTTAAATACCCTTCTTTTGAAAATATCCTAGCCCTTGAACGTAGTTTCTCTAGTAGATGAGGAAAAAATTTACCGAATAATGAATCTTCACTATTAGCGACGTCAATAATGAAGGAGTTTAAGGAAATTTCCTTAAGCAATGGCGTTTAGCTGCTTTGGGTTAAAAAGCTGGTTAACAAATGAAAGTAAGTGATTGAAATGGTTTTCTTAAAAAAAAATTCACATACCTGGCGAATTGTCTTTCTTAGGTCCTGGTTCAGTTGATGTAAGTGGTGAACTATCTGTATAATGGACAAGAAATGATATGTTGAGCTTATAAAACAGATGACGTGTTGATTTCCTCGTCAATGGCAACAACGGAAAAAGAGATATTAAGCAACTTGCTTACCTTCCGTGGTTGCAGTAACAATTAGAAAAAAACAGATAAAGAGAAGATGTACCAGCATGGTGCAAGAAGATAGAGGTGTATTAACTCAACTCCGAAGCGCGTGCAATCACTATAGTGAAATCACTACACTCTTTGATACGTTATTTCCTCTTTTCAACTTTTAAAGCCGCAGGATATACTTCCGGCGCAATGGCTTCTGGAACGGGTTACGTGATGGCCCGCGTGGGCTGTGATTGGCGCATATTTTCAAAATGAAGTCCAGAACACGGACGTTTACTTCCGTGTGGAGTTGTTCAAGATGACGAAACATTTTATTTTTGAAAGTAAAAATGTTAAAAACCGTCGAATCTGTGTACTTTGAAGAAGCATAATTTATCGTATGTAATTAACAATTATTCAACGAAGAGGAGATGAACAGTACTTGCTACTCATTTCCGAATTTGGCAAATAGTGCGCGTGAAAAGGACTATTCACTTGTGTGGTGCATACTGATGAAGAATATTGCTAGTTCGGCAAAATGAGAAATTTCAAGTATAGCGTTGCAAATTAATGTGGAAATTGCGAACTCTTTTCACTTAACTAAACAGCAAAAGCACAATATTTTATTTACTATTTAAAGCAATAGTCTCACAGCTAGAACAATTAGTTAATACAAAGCAATCATCATAAGCTGTAGACATCTTTATTTCAGGAAACTTTAGGTAAATAATTAAAAGCACTCAGAATGCACTACGGTCATTAGAATTCTTCTCCAGCCCTGAAATAAAGAGGAAAACAGTTAGTAAAAACATGGCAGACCCACGGCATCGTGGAGTTTATTTGTTTTATATAGTAACGAGGCAAAATGTTGTTAACAGTGACGTCACTTATGTTTCTATTCGATAATAGATCATAAGTAATAGCCAATCAAAATGCTCGTATAATTCAACCTAGCAATATTAAATCCACCATTTCCATCATTCCTTCTACACTTCTGAAACGCCCTTATGAACCCAATGGATGACAAAGCGTTTTTTAGAGAACAGCACCATACCTAAAAACAAACAAACCAACCAAACAAAACGAAAATTGACGCTTAAGAGTCAATAGCGACTGATCTATGTGATAATATGTGGAACAATGTTATGCTTTGTTGTAAACGTGTTACGTTTACAACAACGTTTATTGTGTTCAGAAGGACAGCAGTTCTTAAAACATGGCTTACCAAGGTAAACTATATTTGCTCAGCAATTCCATCTCTAGCACAGTACATCCCGGCAAGTTTTCTTACACTTCTTCTTAGAGGTGAAGTTGTTTCCGTTTCCAGCGCATCCACCGTAGATAAACTTTTTGCATCTCTTGGTGACTTTGTCGTAGTAGAAGCGATTAAATAAAGCAAAACATGGTCCTGTATCTGACGGGAGACAGCAATCTGAAAAAAATCCAACACATGTCCAATACACCCAATGTGACTCGATTTGGCTACGGTAGTTGACGAATCGACTCACCGGAAGTCGAATCGTGGGTTAACGTACCGGAAGTGAAGGGGCATAAGCACGGGAAAATGACAAAATGAACCTTCCTCGTTCTCAAAGCCTCAGACAAATACACTCAATTTGTGTGTATTGGACAACCCTCAAAAATCCAGATGTAGATTACAGCAGGGTTTAAAGCAACAACCACCAAACCGTACTGAAAAAACAGTACTGCACTGGCTTTGATTTTCTTCGCACTGGAAAACTGTGGCTACCCCATCAACCAATCCGATGCAAAACTGGAAATCAATCGCGCGCGTGATTTGGTTACTCACATTTTTCCGAGTTTCAGGCAGTTTTGCTTGTTTTCACTTTGAATTCTCATTGGCTTATAGCCATACTTTCCTTTGCACGGATTTGCCATTGTAATTACTTTGGTTTGGGCCTCACTATACCAGCAGAAAAGCTCACTATTCTAAGAGAATCAGTCAAAAATTATCACCTGCGGGGAGGGGAGTGAAACTTATAGGGGGAACGGAGGGGGTCACTCGTCGCCAACACAGTATAACGAGGGACTGTAAAAAATTGACTGCCAATCAAGGGGGAATCATGTCACAGAACCTTATGTAGAGATCAGATAAATTTAATCGTGACACAACTTAAATCCTCCTAACCCCACCCTCTCTCTCTCTCTCTCTCTCTCTCTCTCTCTCTCTCTCTCTCTCTCTCGTGGACGATAAATAACGACTGATCCCTTAAACCACGTAATCTTAATCGAGTTCAGCACCAACCAAGTGAGTCAAAAAAAAGGAACTAGAAAGTCTCAATTAAAGCTCAGAGTAATTTTCAATTGAGCTTTGTAAAGTAATCCGGGGTTACCTTGGTTTCACCTCACCACGCTCCGTGATTGGTCCAGAAAAAAACTTGAGCCATCTTCTCAAGCAATCAGATGTAAAACTAAAATCTACTGCAAATTATTCATCGGCGTTTTCCTTGCCCTTTTATCAATTTGTTTGTTTTCACTTTAAGATCTAATTGGCTAATGATGATGTAAACCTTTCTACTGATTGGTTGATGTGATTAGCAAGGATTTGGTCTTTCGACACTCAATTAAAAACGCTATAAAGCTACAAGGGATTTATAATAAACACGTAAAAGCTAACAAAAGGGGAACGGACATACATATGTCGACACGATCAAGAGAAGAGTTGCGTAGATTTGGTTAATTACTTCCCTAAGAAACAAGTAGAAAATTTGAATCTCTTGTCCTGACGTCATCACTATTGTGGTCATCTTTTGCTCTGGAGAGATCAGCCAGAGGAAAAAAAAAATTTCTGACCAACTTGCTTCCAAAGGGGACATATCGCTTACCATTAACTTCTTCCTTTTTACATTCTTTCAAACACGATTCCTTCGTTAGAAAATTGTTTTTGTTTCCTCCACAACCTCCATAAGTAAACTTCTCACACTCTCCAGTCAGGCTGTTGTAGTAGAAACGGGGCATCGCTGCTTTGCATAACCCTATTTCCATCGGAAGACTGCAATGGTTTCCCGAGCCTAAAAGGTTGACAGAAAGGTAAAATTGATCCTGATTTCTCAATATACGAACCTAACGAAATTAATTACGAACGAAATTACATCTTATCACTCTTTAAGAGGGTTAAATTATCTAAAATCAGTATTATAACAAAAACATTTCCATTAAACAATCGTGGTAATTTTTTAAACGAACATGCCAACTTTAGCAATGTATTGCGAAATTTTACGCGCTGTCGCATCAACTGTCTGAGTAATAATAACCCTAAAAGAACGTCTGGATGTTCGTCAAAGTTGAGACCGACCTCGACTTCTTCAGAGTTGTTATGTTGTTATATACAAGTGTGTGTTACTCGGACGAAGCTATTCGAGGTAACTTAAGTATACAAGATACTTTCCGAGACGAGGTATCTCCAAATGATGATTTGTTTGCATAATCTTAAGTATTTGCATAATCTTAAGTATTTAAGTGAAATCTAGCGAAATTCACCACTTTAGTAGATAAATACATTATTTCTGGCGAGAATTTAAGAAAAATCAGTCTCGGATCAAAGTAAACAAATCGTTTTTCTATCCCTGGTAGATAATTTGAACACGGAAATCAAATCAAAACAAAAAAGAAAAGACTAACGGCTAAAAAAGGGAAAATCTAATTTGACTTGAACTTGACGCAGGCTCGAATTGACTAGTGATACGATATAAATCTTGACTTTTTAATCATTTAAAATTAGTACACGGGTACTCAAATCGGCAGGAAAAGGAATCGATTGGGAGGGATCTTTACATTTTATTCATGATCTATCTTTGAATCACATCTGTGATATGAATAATTGAAATGTGTTTCAAAATCAATCAATACGACAGAAATTTATCTAATTCGTATAATAATAATCGTCTTTTGCATTATCATACCACTCGAAATACACTGTTACATCACCGAAACCCAAAGTCTTACGGAAAAAATCATACATACCTTTGCCTATCATTTACTGAATGCTATAACTGGAATAATTAAGAAAAATCCGACGAGAAAATTATAGCAAAATACACCGCACTTATTGCTAATATCTCGTTATCCCTCGTTTTACCGTTTCCTCTCAACAACCTATATTCTTATCGATATCGTCATATCTATCGCAGGGGTTTCAATTAAGGCTGGTTTCGGTCTAACGCTGCCATTAAGACCTCCTAACGCCATCTGTTCAGCTTACGTGTAAGATCGCTTGTTTGGGTTTCGCCTAACGACACAGCTGCCTATTTCAGCCGCTTGGGAAAAAAAAAAATTAATGAAACCCCTGCTGTTGTATTTTTTTCCTTTTCATCTCAGAACAAATATCACCCGACAAAAGGGCATATAATTATTCTCCAATATTCTCTGTCCTTTCCATCTCTTAATTGTTGGTACTTATCCTTTTCTTGTTTAAATTTATCTTTTATGATAATTTATTATCATCACGTTGGAAAATATAATGAAATTAAGGATAGTATAGACAAAAGCACGGAGGCAAGGAAATTGAATTAATGAACGTGTTTGTTCTAGTTAGGATCAAAATACAATTGTTATAATTTTTAAACAAATAGATTTATTGTGACGGAAATAATTCTTTCCACCGTGGCTAAGGCAAAAGTCGGCGCGGAGGAAACCAAGTGGGCAAAGGGTGAGCGGAGGAGAAGTCGCGAAAGACAGACTCAAGAGAACATAGCATCACCATGTGCCTCAATTAACGCGATCTCTCGCTGAGCTAACAATTCTCCTGATCAGAGAAATGGGAATGGAAAGGACTGATGGGCAAGATAAACGAAAACTTAGTGTCTGTCCCCATATGGAGAAAAATTCATCGTGTTCTAGTTGCTAGGCTACATAACGGCGATCATTAGAACGCGAAATTTCCATGACGAACTTAACTAGTTTCATGTGATGAAATACGAATAAAGGCGATCCATTTCGGCAAAAAAAACTGGTAGATAACAATTTTCTTGCATATGGTGTCATTTAGTTCGGAATTTCTTCTTCTGTAATTTAGAATCTTTCCGCATTAGCGACAAAATTGTTTATTTAGACAAATTTTCTGTCATCACCAGCACTTTACAAGTGCGGATGATTCGTCGCGACGTAACAAATTTTGGCCGCAGCAAACAAACCTTTAGACGCACCGCCGACAAAAATTTGTCGCGGGTAAAAATTTGGCTAACCTTAAACAAAACCGTGATAAACTTGTCAATCATTTGTCGTATAAGCTACGACAAACGTGTAATTGAACTGAAATCAGTTTACGAGAAAGACAAAAATTGCCTTTGCTGCAAAACTCGGGGATTCCAAAAATGTTCAAACAACTTAGAATAAATCCTGGAAATAGGAGGTGGAATTCTTTAGCAACTATGCCGGCCGGTCCTATGAACTGCTCAGGCGCTGATGGAATTTGACGGCTTTGAAATTTTTAATGCGGACGCAACAGACAAAACAAAAATTTGTCATGATAAAGTTTGACCTATGATTTTGTCGGCACAATTCTAGTTTAGTCCGCTAATGCGGAAAGGCCCTTACTCAAATTGCGATAACTGTACTCCTTGTAGGTTTTATGAAAAAATTCACTGAAAGATCTCAAACTGTTGGAAATTTTTGTGTGAATCATTAGTTTTTTTTCCTTTTGTATTTTAAATTAAAAACTTTTAGACAAGATATTTCGTGAGCGCTTAATTTGGCTAACCTTAACAATGTACCCCTTAACCGCGTCTGAAAATGAAAATCAGTACACTAATACTCATTTCTACCTGTAGCTAAACAAGTATCTTATCTGGAAAATCCTTCAAACTTACCACTAGCGAAGTGATGTTACGGCCGAGAAAATTAAATTATTAAGATGAAACGATGAAAAAAGCCTCAGGGATTTACTTTGCTGGGGATATGTTTACACTCGATGTCGTTCAAATTTCAGAAAGTAAGAGCAATTTCAAATAATTTTTTCTCGGAGAAAATGAATTACTTGACTTGCAATTCTAGGTATCTTCTTCCTGAAGTGCGCGTTTTCTTCTTGAGGATTTATAATTTCCCTGCTGCGTGTTCCCACAATTTGACCGTAACTTTTACGAAGACAGTATACTTGTACCATTTATTGCCATTATAAAACAGGAAATGCATTCTTCGTTGACCGTATTACAAGATATTACAGTCAAACCGGTATTAAGCAGCACGGTATTAGGCAGTCACTCTGTATTTAACAATCGGTTGTCGTTTGCTAGTTATGACATAGTGGTCCAACCGTTAGATGATGATATGTAGTAATTTTACGTTTTTATTCTTTTTTTCACGCCATTCCACCATTTTGTTGATGTAGTTTATCAACGAAGAGTACAAAAATTTCAGATAGCTACGTGGCATAAAGTGGCGTTTTTTTTCGCATTTGACCCCTATTCTGTGGAACCTGTCTTCAGCAGTCAGCCCGCCATATATCCATTCCCGTGGGTGACCTGAATGATTAATTAAAAGCGGTTTAACAACTTACCAGATACAGCGGTGGTGGCGACCAAGGAACAGAAAAGTACATAAACCAACATGTCTCCAGACAACACAAACTCAAACTAATACAGTCTTTCCTCCTCGGTGTCTTCAGTGATTGTGCTTCGACCTACTTGAACGCGAATCTTTATCTACTCTTAACGCAGGAGACTGAGTACCAACTCTAGCGTACGTGAGCTACTATGATTGGTTGATGATTTCAAAAGGAAGTCAACGACACGGAAGTGATGTTACAACGTGCTTGTGATTCCGCTGGATGATTGACCTTCTAAGAGCAGGACGGGAAGTCACGTAACGCGGCGACTTAACAAACGCGGATAGGAGAGAAAAGCACTTTGCCACGGAAAAAAAATGACGAGAATAATCTTTAAGAATTTTGAAATCAAGTTAACCTAGATGAAAATACAACAGGAACTTTTGTTTTAAATCTCTGTTAAAAATTCACAGCGCAAACAGTCTTTGTGGAGCAGGCCCTAAGCTTTCGGCTCAATGAAAGGAATCGCCATTCAAATGTTTCAAAAGTCTTTGATACCACTAGATCGACGCCCTGATGGGTAATTCGTTCCCTAAATTATTTTCTAGTGGTCAGATGATTCTCGGAGTTCATTGACAATTCAGGGCTAAAACAATGAAATTTCAGGTTAAGAAAATGATCGCGGTCAAAATTTTCAGACAACAGTTATGTTTGAGCTCTACAGGAATAATTGAGAGATTGAACTCGTATGAGGAGGACAGGACGCTGTCGTGATCAAGAGATAATTACAAAAGACGGGAAACTCTAACCATGCAGCTCTGTTTCCTTAAAAAATAATCAAGAGCCACTGACATCAAATGCAAAATGTTCCTCACGGCTCGGGTGACATTTACCTCATTAGTAACTGTCTTTGCTCTTATCTTACACAGAGAGGCTCGAGCAAAGTTGTGGCCTGATGCCAAATTTCGTAATTGACCAAAATTTGGAAAGAAGAACACCTAAAATATAGATATCCCATCGAAAAAAAAAGACAAATTAGAACCAAAATATGTCGAAAGACTAATCTACGTTCTACAATATCTTGTTTCACCGAGCGTGATCTGGGTGGAAAGCTTTGAAGAAAAATCTCGAGGTGCGTATCTTACAAAACCAAGTTCATATGTTTCACCGAACATTCATTTTATTATAATTAATTAACAACTTTAACGCGCACGCTGGTTATGTTTACTGTTACGCGCGTGCTCCGTTTGAATTTATATATCGCAATAATTATCGCAATGTTTGTCGCCTTAAACGTTTAATTTAAGACGCGTAATCTAGTTGTTCAGTACAGTTTCAACCAAGGTAACCAGTTATTGTAATAACGGAGGCAGTCTAGAAGTAAGTTTTCGGTTGATTTCCAGGTTAAAGCTTGCGTTTGGGAAATCTCTAAACACCGTTGAGAAGGAAGCTATCATCAAAGACAACAATTGGCAAGAAGTATTTTAACATGTAGCTGGTCTAATTGAGGATGACGATAAACCTTTGTTAAAAATGCTTACCTGAAGCTGACGGTATTGGGAGGGGGGAGGGGGGAGAGGAGGGGGTGCGGTTAAGTGCGGACAACGTGTTTGAACAGCAGAGGCCAGGCAGCCAAATTCATAAGTGGTCACGATATGTTCAGGTCATGCAGGACTGGAGCAGATAACTTCAAAAAGAGCCATAACGGACACGCAACGGGCCTCAAAGTGCATGCATCACTGCGCATGCCCGAATCAAAAGACAGAATACTAGCTTACTTAATTTACTTTCTGACCAAGAAGTAACACATTTGTAACAATACTGTAACACTCACGTTATTTACAACAATAATAAATACCACTAAGCGATTTAGACCGTAGTCTCATGCGGAGTCTCATTTGGGTCGTCACGCAGTGTTCGGATATGAATCCAAAATGTTGCGAGTTGCGTGACAGATCTCTTAAGGATCTCTAGACGTCATGGATTTCTACAAGTCACGGAACGGATCTGAGAATAATAAATAACTCATGAGTTGAATAAAGTGACGTCGTGCAAACTCCTAATTAAAGGAATATGAAGGGTTTTGAGGCGCTCCACACCAGTTTCCCAGAAAACGCAGCACATCTTGACATTCAGGGCTATGAGAAACCTAAAGAAGAGAGAAAAGAAAAACAGAGCAATTCATTACAGATATCTCAAAGATTACTTTTCTCAAGTAATGTAGCATTAAACCAATGTTTGACCATTTAACCCTAATATCAGTATGTATACTCTCCATACTGCTCTTTATACATTTCCTTGGGTGCTGACAAGGAGACTTTGTTTAGCAGTTGAGAGCTTTTTAGTTGGTGATCATTTCCTTTATTTTTAGTGGCCTTAATGTGTGATTCAGGGCTGATTTTGTAAGGAGAAATTAGATTCTAGTCACTCTCAGGCGTCAAAGGGTTAAAGAGCGCTGTACCGAATCTTAGAAGGTAAAAGATATGAAACATGAAGAATAAAGTTGTCCAAAGAGAAAGAGTGGATTGGCGGTGAACTAATAGGACAGAAGCGTCTTGTAATGTAAAATATTGTTGTAAGTAAGTGAACCTTACCACTGTAAGTATTGTTTTGAGCGTAGTGTTGGTATTGTAATTTTATATTGTCAGTGTTGTGATTGAAATATATATCAACAACTAAATAAATCAATAAAAAATAAAAAACCAAGCGAGTTGTGTCCCATTTTCGCCGTGTAAGATGCTGTGGCAAACGTGAGAAATACAACTCCTGCATCTCATCTCCACTTTCAGTTATTAAAACCGCAACCTCCATTTTCAAGAAGGATAGGCACCTTGCCTTCATCTATGAAATATTGTCTGTACCGCTAATAATGTTTCTTGATAACTTCTAAAGAGAAGTTTGTGCTCTCTGGTGAGACAATTTCAGTCCAAAATTGCAATAAGCTCACCTTGGTAGCCATGATAAACTTATTCCAGTCTTCTTTGTTCGCAGCCTTGCCCGGTCGTTTAAATTCAATCTTGTTTCGCAGAACGGGATATCCTGAGAATAAAGGAACGCTTCGTAGTTTAGTGTTCTATTACACATTCCCACGATGAGTTCACGGTCATCTTTTGTTTTCATTGCATCATACATACAAAAACTACCTTCACCTCAAAGGAGACTACAAAATATAAGTTCAGTGAGATAGAAAATAGCGAAAGGAGGAAAAATAAAGCTACAGGAAAAGAAGATGGGTAATGATGGATAAGATTAATACGGATCACAGATACCCTAAAAAAAAACCCCTCGCCGTTTAGTGTCCTTTGATGAGGTGGCGGTTGTTTTTTTTGTATCACACAAACTTGCCTTTATCTCAATGGAAAATACAAAATAGAACTTCAGTAAAATAGAAAATGACAAAAGAGGCCATAATAAACCAGGAAGGAACAAGAATGGTTCAGGATTAGGACAATTAACCCTTTACACCCTCACATCAATATGCATATTCTCCATACTCTTCTCCATACATTTCCTAAGGTACCAACAGGGAGAATTTATTAAACAATCAGGAGCTTCTTTTGTTGGTGATCGTTTTCTTTATTCTTGTTACCATAATGTGTGATTCAGGACTGATATCGTATGGAGAATTTGGACTCTAGTCACTCTTAGGGGTTAAAGGGTTAAAACGGATTGTTAGACAATCGACTGGAAAGCCTTACCTGTGATGACACACGGCGGAGACGTTATACCAGTGTTCACTGCCACAAGGCAAGCTTCATAAGTATCACGCTCATCTGTTGGCAAAACTTGCTCCACCTGGCAAAAAATCACGTCTTATGAAGAGTTATCTTTAAACGTAACGCTGCGACTTTGCTAGTAGAAAACGATTCTCTTTTTTTGCGCTAGTAATGCCAAACTAATCATAGCGATTAATCCTCGCTTGCTAACAAAGAGGAATTGATGACAAAGAGAAGGGGCTTCCTTAAGTAAACGGTAGGCTGTTTGATTTTGTTCTTCTATTCAGCAGGAAAAGAATTTCAAAACAAACCTTTTGATCCATTGAGACAGCTAGTACCCATTCCTTCACTTCCTCGCGTTTCTCTTCCTGAAAAGTTCACATCATGAAAAGAAAACATTGTTGGAAAATGAAAACTTTTAATAAAACCGCGTTTAAAACAACAAACGCTTCATTCCTTCGTTTGACTCTCTTCTGACTCACCGGTAAGTGTTGTTTTTCTGGAACCGGTACCTCGAATGGAATATCTGTGTCTGCAAAATCGCTGTTGTCCAACATATCAAGACTACCTTCTTCAATACCCTGCCAAGAGGCAATTAATTACATTAGGCATCGTTAGAGACGAAAATTCCGGCTTTATAGAAAAGTGAGAAAAACAGGTTTTCTACCTCGCTGAGATCCAAGTAGCGGTTTAAGAAAACAAAAGCCATATTGTCCCAGCCAACGCCCTGTTGGAGAAGAAGGTATTTTGTTAAATATCAATGATCCAACAATGACATCGCAAAGTAATTTAGTATCATTAACTGAGTTGATATCGTAAATTGGCCACGTAAAGAGTTTCAGAGCTGGCGTTTCGAGCGTTCGCCCTTCGTCATTCGCTTTGACGCCCTTTATTCGATGACATCGCAAAAACGACTTAAATGGTATTTATCAAATGGCACGAAAGGTACAAAAAAATGGATTCATATCTTCGAAATTTAGACAATGATTTCTATGATAGACAGTTGTAATTTTGTTATGGCAGGCGCTAAATATTCAGGCTTTATAAAAGTCTTGCTTTGCGACAAATATCAGCCGAGAACTGTTTTTTAAATCAGTAATATTACGCAGGCAATACATTAAAGATTACAAAACGTGGGAAATTGCATGTCTTACCTTAGCTGCAACTCCAGCTTCATAAAAAGCTTTATCACAGGGAATAATATCGGAATGTCGTAGAAGGGAGGTCGACAATTTGGCGGCTAAGGTATCCTG